CTCCATCGCACAGCCCATACCTCTGCCAGTAGAGCGCAGGCTCTCGGCTCCAGTCCCTGACGATTCAGAAGACCCTACTGGTCCGTAAGCTAAGCTGGTGGGTTGCCTCATGTACCTGATGACTTGCACGCGTCCAGATCTTGCATACCCTCAGTGTCCTGGCTCGCTTTGTGACGACAGGCAGACACCGACCACAGCACTGGTCGGCCGGTAAGAGGGTTTTGCGTTATCTAGCAAGTACATCGAGCATGGGGCTACTGCTAGGAGGACGCAGGCTAGTGGTCCTTACAGGACACACAGACGCTTCGTGGGCGGACAACGTTGAGATGCTCAAGTCCTCCCATGGCTACTGCTTTAGCCTTGGTGCAAGCGCCATCTCGTGGAGGTCCACTCGCTCGTCGTCTGTAGCACAGTCTAGCTGTGAGGCTGAGATCTACGCTGGTGCCATGGCGGCACAGGAGCTCCGCTGACTGACCTTCTTGCTCACAGACTTAGGTGAACGGCCTAGCTCTGCCCCGGTCCTGTACGCTCACAACAGGGCCATGATCCTCCTGTGTCAAGAGTCTTGACTCGAGGGCAGAGCGAAGCACATCCAGCTGTGGTACTTCTTCCTACGCAAGCTACAGCAGCGCCTCCAGGCCCGCGTAGTACACTTGGCCTCCGGTGCCAACACAGCTGATATTTTTACTAAGGCGCTTGCGCCTAAAGATCATTAGCGGCACTATGTACAGCTTGGTCTAGTTCCTGTAGCTCCTCACTTGCTAGGGCCTTGATTGTGTACTGCTCTTTTACATATATTCTCCTGACTGGCCTTGTGGCTACTGTTCTAGTGGTAGGACTAGTAGTGCCGCCCTGGTTTGTCCTTTTCTTGTTTGTACCCGTGCTGACCGCCTAGGAGGCTGGACTAGTAGTGCCACCCTGAGTTTCTTGTCTCTTGCCAAGCACTGCCCCTTGACATCCAAGGGGGTGTGTCAACATATATATTTGTATATGTTTATAAGCTAGCTAGGAGGATACCATAGAGAGTACAACACTTAGAACAAAACTAAACTGTATGCCCTATTCGAGTCAATTCGTTTCCTTGAGACCTCCGACGTACAGCTTGCAGGGATGACGCCAGGCACCACATGCAGCTCGACATACTTGTCTTTGAATTCTTGCGTCAGGTGGCCACGGTAGGAGTCGAGGATGAGCAGTGCCGACCTCGCATGCCGACCAAAGCGGGGCTGTACTAAGGGCTTGACAGTCTCCTCTAGCCACTAGATGATGCCGTCGGCATCCATCCACCCGTTTGGTTGGGCGGCGACGATGACATCCGCAAGGCACAGAGCGACATGGTTGATAACCGACCCCTGTAAACCGCCATAACAAGCATCAACAAGCACTAGACAACAACTCACCATGGGTGAAGTTCCCCTTCCGTACTGTGGCTCTTTTGAAAAAGACCCACGGCTTCAATTTCTCCCCAGCCGCCGTGCATGCAAGCATAACGGTAACTCTCTCCTTCAGATATCCGTCGTTCTGAACGGTGGCGGTGTTCGTGCCGACCTTGTCGATTGTGTGCTCCGCCGGCATTTCAAGCCACACCGACATCTGGCCGGCATTGATGATGTAGCGCTCGTCGATGCTATACAAAAGCCGTGCCTCCCGCACGAAGCGCCAGAAATTCTCAACCTCCGCTTGGCATTCTGCGACAGGGAGGGACAGAGGGTACGACGGACGATGTAGTTTAGTAAATACCAAGCATGTTGTTGCAAGAAGCAAAGTTGCATCATAGAGACGGAGAAAGGAAAATTAGGGAATTTGATGGCGGCACACTTACTGTCGCTCATTTTTTGGCCCACTTTCGTTTTGGCGCGCACCGACAAGTTCCACCTCATGCGAAACCGTTCTGTCCAGCTGTATGAGGCCTTCCATGGAGCGGTGGGGTGAAGCTGCTTCATTATGTCCTTGGACCAGCTTTGCAGTTTGCTTACCGCCACTACTTTGCCATCGGCTTGCGCGGCTATCACTCTGGCATAAACCTCCATCTCCATGTCTTCGTACCAGGAGGCGCGCCCATGCACATGCAGTCTTTTTTTACAGCCGATGGCCGCCTTCAGCGCCTCTTCTTGCTTCTACCACTCGTACAGCTGCTTTCGCTCGATTCCAGACTCTCGAGAGACCGCGTTGAGAACCTTCACCTCCTTCAACATGGCCAGCCGCTTCAACTTCTCCTTTGTCGTGTAGGAGTTGCGCTGGCGCTTGGTGGGCCTGCTCGGGGGGGAGGGGGGATGGGAATCTCGGTTCACAGAGGAAGGATGAGGTCGGGGTTTCTTTGCAAGCATGGAGATTGGTATCGGGAGCTTCTCAGGGAGACCGTAGTGTGACCAATACTCCTCCACGACGCCGCCAGCAGGTTCCCACCAATCGCCACCACGAGGATTCTCCTCATCGTCCTCCGCCTGTTCACCTTGCTCGTCGGCGTCGTACTCAACGTCACCGTCGATGCCATCATCCTCTTCTGTAGGTGGCAGTGCAGGAAGGAGTAGAGTCAAGACAGGGGCATCGAAGTGCACCGGTGCCACTGGTGGAGCAGGGGGCACGGGAGGTTCTGGAGGAGAATGGGGGGCGGGAGGGGCAGGAAGCATAGGAGGTGCAGGAGGTGAAGGCGGGGCTGGAGGAGCTGGGGGTGCCGAAGGTTCCCAACCTACGTTACTACGCCCGTTGTGGCAAACTCGTGAAGGTTGGCTGCGTGCACCAAATAAGATGGCTATGTCAGAGAGCGGCAAGCCAGCCGTGGCTTGCGCTGCCGCGGCCGATTGAGACACGCATTCCAAACTTGCTTTCTAAAATACAAAGCAAGAAATGACGGTGTTCTCTCGACCCCCCTCAAAGAAAGTGCCACGGGATCCTCTACGGAGAATGGTGCCACCCCATTGTATGGTCTCATAGAGGACTGCATGGCGAAGGTTCCCTTTCCACGGGTGCTCAGATGCCATCGACCTTGCAATCAAGAATCTTCAAACCCTAGTTGGATTCACTGAACCAGGGCCGCATGACACGGGTTATTGAAATGCATGGGCCTCATCTAGCCGAATTTTTTTGCTGGCACAACAAGGTGCCACAACCCATCCTGATTGGGCCGCAAGGCATTTTTCTTGTCTTGCCGTGCTGGCTACACATTCGCGTAACCATTTGACATGCATGATGCATGTATCTCCATTTGGGAGCATAACCGTTCGACAGGAAACAACTAGTGCTACATTTTGATGTCCTCAAATGTTTTTCCCATGAAATCCTTAATATAAGCGCAGCACTTATAAATTTTATTTCATTACAAGCGCCCCCTAAATTTCGATGGGTTTTCCTACAAGTGCCCATGTGCTTATATCAGGGAAAAAACGGTAAAATATCATCAAATGGATTCCCTGGGGAGGGCGAAAATAGTTAGTGCAATGTCTTTCTCTTGTAATACTACTTCTGAATCAAGCCCCTAGATATCAGTTTTTTCACACTGATTCAGCCTTCCAGCCATTTTTCTTGTACTTATGGTGAAATGTTAGACTTTTTGAGATAGGTAAGGCTGACAAATTCAGCCATTTTGTTTATAGTGACGTATGACGATTTCAGCGTTTTTGTTGGGGTGTAGTCTGAGGTTTCAGCTAAGTCTCTGGGGGGGAGTATGAAATGTAATTTTTTGAAAGCATGTAACACTTTCGAAAATGTGTATTGTGAAAGTACAGCGAGGGCCAACACAGCGAAGGCAGCGTTGAAGCGCTACTCACCCTATTTTGCCTACAAAAGAGGGACGTGATGCCATTCGACCTCACCCATGTTCTTCATTTCTAGTTTCTCTAGTTCAATTTCCTTCGTTCTCGTCCAACCTGGTGAAAACCCAGTCCCTCCCTCGCGGCAAGGCTCCGACAACATTACTCCCACAACCTCGCCACCATGACTTCTGCGAATAAGACTCCTAATCGCCCGATGAAAGGCATCCAGCCCCGATAATTCCACAGAGCCCAGAACTTCGACCGGGGTAGCCGCTCGTTGCCAGAAATGTCCTATGGAGAACAATTTTGGCGAGGGGCCCTCGGCTGTCGAGTTTCTCCTTGGCGCCAATCACACCCCCCCTGAAGAAACACGCGCGGCTGTCAACCCGCCGCGCGTGCTGCCATCCGAGGAGCACGCGCCTGCGCACGCCGCGACGGCTGCAGGCCAGGCGGGCCCCGCTGGCCACACACGTGTTGACAAGGTCGCTCCAGACGTCGCCGCCCCCATGTTGACTGTGCACTAGCTGCAGGCACTGCTGGCGATGTTACACCAACAGCTGAATGTTACGATCGGCACATCGTCTGATAATATGAATGCTATGACAAATTTCGTCAAGAAAGGAGAAATGGAAACACCTCCTCGCGGACCCAAGACCCCGCGCGTCGACAACCAGCCCCTGGCACCAACCCCCGCACCTGCCAACAACACCGACAGCAGCGATAATTCTGACAACGAAGATGGTGAGGCCCCCACCAACATTGCTCGTCAACGCACTCTTGCTCCCGCTCCCCCTCTCCACCCCCTTGGCCCCTTCACCAGGATGAAGTCTTCACCGCCATCCAAGCACACCTGCAGCATATCGACTTCCAGCTGCCGCACGGCAACGTCAACACTGCACTCAACCATGTCAAGCACATCGAAATGTATTGGTAAGCATTTTGAGGTGCTCCTCGTGGCGGACGAGGCCGGTTTCGAGGCTGCGGATCGTTTCGAGCTCTACCAATCAAAGAGTGTGGTAACGTCTCGCTCCTACAAGCTTGCCATTGTCGACGTGGCTGCACTCAAGCGCGCCCGCGCCGCCTACCCCCGCGGTGGTCGCCTCGGTGGCCGCGACGGCGACATGGACCTCAAGGGCTCCCCTCCCCTCATGTGCCAGCAGCATGCTTCAAGGGAGTGTGCTTCCATTGTGCCCAGCCACGTCACATGGCCAACGCATGCCCCATGGGCGGGCGTGGAGCACAAGCCCCCTCACCGTTGGTGTGAGCGGGGTGTAAGGGCGATGTGCCCTTCGCCAATATGCAAGAAGCATATTGGGCTGCACCGGGGGTGCATGGCTGGTCGCCAGCCTAAGGACAAGGCAAATAGCCTAGTAGAATAGGGTAGCCCTAGGGGCAGAGAAGGCCCTGGGCCTGGAACCTTGTGTTATTCCATGTATGAAACATGTATCGTTAAGGCACATTGAAACTAAGATTGCCAAAAAACAAAAAAAACAAAAACAAAAAAAACAAAAACACGCTTGCGAGGCTGTAATGAAAGAGAGAGAGAGAGAGAGTGAGAGAGAGCGAGAGAGAGAGAGAGCGAGAGAGAGAGAGAGAGAGAGAGAGAGAGAGAGAGAGAGAGAGAGAGAGAGAGAGAGAGATAGAAAGCATAAGAGACAGCAAGAGAAAGAGCATAAGAGAAAGAGAAAGAGAGAGAAGGAGAGAGAGAGAGAGAGAGAGAGAGAGAGAGAGAGAGAGAGAGAGAGAGAGAGAGAGAGAGAGAGAGAGAGATAGAGAGACAGAGAGAGGGAGAGAGAGAGAGAGAGAGAGAGAGAGACAGAAAGAGAGAGAGAGAGGGAGAAAGAGAGAAAGAGGGAGAGAGAGAGAGAGAGAGAGAGAGAGAGAGAGAGAGAGAGAGAGAGAGAGAGAGAGAGAGAGAGAGAGAGAGAGAGAGAGAGAGAGATAGAGAGATGTGACGAAGGCTCGAGCGTTAAAGGGAAAAGGCATGAAGATAAGCCATGCCCCCTTTACAATTGAATAAGAGCCACTCCCTCTTTGCCAACTGCATGGGAGTTATGCCCCCCTACAATCGTCTATGACACATCCACTTTAAAGCTCGCAGCTAAAATAGCAGACCTGGAAACCACTTGAATTTGGTGCTTTGAAATCCGTCTAAGTATAGAATGGAAGGCAGCTTTGAGTTCAAGCATGAACAAGAAAAGTGCGTCAAACAAATTCTGGTCGAGCTTGCTGATTGGAGGAATGGCGAAAGAACCCGTTTTGCTGTTTGTTGTGACACGATCATCTGGATGCGAATTGCTTCGCACGGAGTTTCTACGACGGGTTTGGGCGAGCAGCTTGCGACGAGGAAATACAGACGCTTTTTGACTGGGGAATTCAAGTAATTTCCAGGTCTGCGATTCCAAAATCAGCTACTGTTCGCCAAAAAAATACTGTTCTTCTCGCATTTTCACTGTTCACGGAACCACGAATTCGGTCGCACGACGCGTATTGCACTGTTCACCGAATGGTTTTGTTCAAAAACTGTCGCCAAACCGCCACGGTCAGATTCCGCTTTGCAAAACGAAATGTTTTTATTCTGTTTCATTTACTCTAAAGATAAAGTCATGTGCCAAGTTCAAGAGCAAATTAAGCAGCCCTCTTGATTGCTATTATAGCCACGGGCTTTAAGGCAAATTTTCTGGTCTTGCTCACTAGGGTACCCATATCATTCTTGCCACCCAACCCTTTTGTCCAGCAGAAATCAGAGAAGGATGGTTACGCAACGAAAATGACCCCTACAAGTACGCGGTTACGGACAAGGACATGCCCTACACTGATGGTGCTCATGGTGCGATAGCAGCTTCATCCTGTCCATCATCGCGAAAGGATATTGGTTTCCCTGGAAGGAAGCCGCACCACACGCCTTTGAGGATAACAATCATGCTGGGGTTCGCGCACACCTGGACTTCACTCGTGGCGCGATTCACGACATTGTCACCTTGGGTGCCGCCGTCATGGTCCCTACGAAGGACGCGCTCATGTGTGTCAGTCCACTTAACGTGGTGGAGCATCGCAAAAATTGTCGCCTCATTCTCGACTTGCGCAAAGTCAATACCTACCTTGACATCCCCAAGTTCAAGTACGAAGGCTTGAACAGGGTTGCCGAGCTCATCATCCAGGCGATTGGATGTTCTCCATTGACCTAAAGTCAGGCTACCACCATGTCGAGATCCACCCCTCCTGCTGGAAGTTCTTGGGATTTTTGTTTGAAGGAGACTACTATTCATTCAGATCGCTCCCGTTTGCGCTTGTCACTGCCCCGTTCATCTCTTGGCATGCCAAGGCACACTTGTCGTCGACAACAGTGCATGACATTTTTTGCTGGCGCAGTTCGACAAGTTCAACGGAACCCCATTCCATCTCAGTCACAAGATCGACGATGTCATCCACGCCAATGCAAGCGCACACAGCTGGGGCACCATCCTGATGCAAAATCCCAGGACGCCCATTGAAGCTAGTGCTTGAGGAAATACTGCCTACCTCTAGCACTCGACGGGAATTCGAAGGAGTCTTATGGGCTCTCCAAACTTTTGCTGCCCGCATATCCAAGCGCCACGTGCTCGTTCAGGTGGACAATCAAGGGGTGGTATTCATTCTGCGCAAAGGCGGATCGCGCCACCCTACGCTCACACTAGTATGTCAAGAAATCATTCGTCTATGCCTGGAACATCAGACAAGGCTAGCTGTCGAATGGATCACGCGAGGGCTAAATGCGCACGCCGACGAACTTTCTAAAATCCAAGACCACGATGACTACTCCCTCCAAGCCCCGTGGTTCCGGCTCTCAGATCACTGCCTGGGCCCCCACTCTATTGATCTCTTCGCAAATGTGCACAACACTTAGCTGAAGAGGTTTTACTCCAAGATTCCACACCCTATGGCCATCGTGTTCGACACGTTTTCGTTCAGCTGGCAACATGAGCGCGGCCTCGCGTTTCCTCCTCCCAACCTCATTCCAATCATATTACGATATGCTAAATGCACACACTTTGAGGTGATCTTGGTTATTCCTGACTCGCCGGGAGCATCATGGTGGCCACTCCTCCAACAGGCACATGACACCTGGGTGCTAGAAGAAACGGCACACATTCCCCTCAACCACGGCAGCCAATGTCTCCGTCTTGGCACACACGCACTCGCTTTCGCAGGACAAGGCTTTCCTCCTAGTCAATTGATTGCATTGCTTGTTACGTATAAAAACTAATAATAAATGTACTGTACGCTGTACCTTTCAGGCATTATATTTAAAGTGCAAATGCAACTACTACACGTAATCACCCATGTCCATGCCCCTTCCACCATCCGAACATACAGTGGCGGAATAAATTGTCCACATGTTCAGCCTTTTTTGGCATTTTGATGTGTGCAGCGGCGTAAAGATTAAGCCTTAATGTATGGTGTGCATACACGCTGAGAAGTTCAGTTAGAGCACTCACTCGAGTTGGCAAAGACCAAAGTAGTACCACACATGGTCCTTAAACACCTAAGCATAGCATAGGATAACATCCGGACAATTTGTACCGAAAACAGGTAGCATACTAGATTCTGTGAAAACTAGTACCTAGTCCAGCTTCCCTTTGCCCGAATCACTGCCTTGATCCTCCTCGGCAGGCTGTCGATCAGGTTTGCACACACCTCCGCCGGTATCTTGTCCCATTCCTCCTGCACCCTCTCCCACAGCTCCAGCATTCCACTTGGCGGCTTTTCGTACTTCCCCAGCTGCCTTTTCAAGTGTGCCCACAGGTGCTCAATCGGGTTAAGGTCCGAGGAGCACGACGGCCATTCCAGCACCGCGTACTCCTGCTCCCCAAGCCAGTCTTGGACCAGACGAGACCTGTGCTTGGGATCATTGTCGTGCTGGAAAATGACCTCTGAGGGGGAAAGCTTGAAAAAATCGATGGTCTGTTTGAGCTCATCTTGCAAGATGCTGCGATACAGCGGCCCATCCATCCTGCCATCTATCTTGCACATGAACCCCGCCCCCTCATACGTCATGCAACCCCACACCATCACAGAACCGCCCCCATGCTTAACTGTCTGTTGGACTTGATGGCTCCGAAGGCTGGTGCCCTCGCGAATCCAGGTGTACGCACTTCCGTCGGAGCAGTAGCGGTTTATCTTTGTCTCGTCAGACCAAATCACCCGCTTCCAGTCCTCCAGCGTCCAGTCGGCATGTGACCGTGCGAAGTCGAGACGATCTCTGATGTTTTTCGGTGAGAGCCTGGGTTTCTTGGGCTGATGCACGGCGATCAGCCCCGCGGATCGCAATGAGTTCCTGACCGTCTTCGAGTCTACGGCGAGATCGTGCTTCTCCAACAACATATATGCCGCGTCTACAGAGCTTTTCGCCTCGCCGCTTGTAATCGCGCGTATTATTCCGCGCTGGAGACGGGTAGTGATTAAGCGGGGGCGGCCGGTCGTAGGCATCATAGGTCGCACCTCCTCGAGACTAGTCTCGGCAGCCACTTTCAAACCGTAATCGTGCACGGTGCTCTTGCCTATGCCAAGAACTTTGCCTATTTTCCTAGTCGAATGCCCCGCACGCAACATGCTTATGATTCGCGCGCGCTTCCGCTCATTTAACGGCTTCATGGCGATGCGGTCGTAGGCTCGCTCTCGGACTAACTCCTAAGCCAGCAACTATTGCGTGTGACGATGTACACACCGAGTGACGGGGGAAAATAGATCTACTCTTCCGCTCGGTTGGAAATGTCCGCATCGATAGTCGAGGAGTAAATTTCAACCCCACTTTCCGATTGTGTCACAATCGCGCCAAGCAAGAAACGGTTCAAGCAGAATTCGAACACCTTGTAACGGAATGGCAAAAAATGGGTGTTACTATTTTCGAAACATGTGTAGCATAGCGATACTTTTCAAAGTGTTAAACATCCGGGCAATTTATTCCGCCACTGTATGAGCCCTACTAGCTCAAATTTTGCTCCTTCTGCATGAAGGTGAAGCTGAGCTACCTGCCAGCAACGTATATGACCTTGGCACTCTACCTCATTCATGCACTAAATCACTAGGCCACTACATCCGCCATATCGTTTAGATGCTCCGCCATCGCCTTTGCGCATCGCATGACCGGCAAGCTCTCTCCCACGAGTGGACCATTTACATTACAAGTGCGCGAATTCGCCGAACGCCATGGCCCGCGCCCCACTAGGAACAAGGAACCTTTGTCGCTCCACCAAGTGCACACCATGGCCCGCCCCTTCTTGGAGTCCGCCCGGCCGGCCGAGTACCAGAAAGGACTCATCCCCATCCTTATGTTCGCCGCCTTCCTACGCTACTCTGACCTTTACTCGAAGTCCTTGACCAGTCACACTTCTCTCATACCCTCGGCAACCCAAAAGATTTTGTGTGAAGTCCTTGGAAACCAGTCACACCTCCCTCATACCCTCGGCAACCCCTATGAAAGTCCTCGGAAACCAGTCACACCCCTCTCGTAACCCCTGCAACCTTGAATAATTTTTGCAAGTCCTTGGCAACCAGTAACACCCCTCATACCTCCCCCCATCCAAAGAGTGTCGAAGTCTTGACTCTTGACTCTCCAACTGTAGCCCCTGCACCAGTCACGTTAGTCCCTTGTCCTGGGGTGGGGCGGCGCCACGCTGGCGCGCAAGCAGCTTGCCTTCCCCGAGGTGATTGGCACGCAAACACATAGAAATTCTATATCGCGCCACATCACTGACAATTAAAGTGCTTCCGGGCCAGGGCTTCAAAAGTCATGACAAAATGCCATGAAATGTTGTATAGCGGAGTGTTTTCTTTTTTTAGGGTCGTCCTGATTTTCCAGCTTTTTATTTTCCCGAGGCATGAATTTAAGGAGTTCCCTCTAGAGCGGGCATGAAATAATGTATGTTCTTGTTTTGGTCACCCTGAATTATCTGCTTTAATGGATTTCCAGCTTGAAACAGAGTCCTCTCGA